TGTGCAATGCACACTGATTATGCATTAATTGAAGTTTGGAGACATTTTAAAATGCTTTTTTTCAGAACCACATCTGACACCACTTGCAATGGTGGGGGTGACGGCTGGGGGGGTGGGGAGATAGCGGTGAGTGACTGCTCTACTTCTGAATAAATGAAAACTATGTAATACTGTTGTTTACACTTTAATTAAAAGTATATGACCAAAGGAAACCCAAAGCAGGACTACAGAGAGATGAATATAATTTATATTTTTATTTCTGTGACTGTAACGACCCACAGGAGACACGACATTAACAACACATTTCATTCCTCTGCCTTAGCAGCTCCTTTAATTCCACAGCTGACACTGCTAAAAAATATGTTTTTCTTTTTTCTGGATCTCTAAGTTCTTCTTTTTTTTACTTTGCGGTGTCATTTATGAAAGGACACTTCCTGGTATGTGGGACAGGAAACGTAGCCTTACATGGTGTTTATAGGGTGGTAATTATGCTGATCTCCTCTCCTCGTGCACAAACACCTGGATACACATTCATCATTTTACACAGCTCATTTACACACTTTTCCTGAAGATAGAAGAGTTTGTTGAATCTGACGTGRCATGTTCGTACGAACCCTTTGTTTGAACAAAAGTAAGAGAAATTTAGGATAAGAATACGAACATGTTCTTGCATGAGGCCCATTGAGTTTTATTTTGTTATTTTAAAAAGGATGAGGAAGAAAAAGTGGTTGTTTTAAATAGAAAACAAACAAACAAACAAAGAAAACCCCAGCTGATTCCAGTGTGTGTGTGTGTGTGTCCGTGTCCGTGTCCGTACAGCCTTCCAGGAGTCCAATCAGGGTTCTGGACCTGAAGATCCTGTGTGCTGAGAGTGAACAGATTCGAACATGTTGGATGTCTGCCTTCAGATTGTTTAAGGTGTTGAAACCCTTTGTTTTCATTTAAAACTCACCTTGCTATCTGTAGATATCCTAACCTGACAGTAAAATAACTAAGCTGATGGTAAAATAATTAACCTGATGGTAAAATAACRTCTTGACGTGTTCCTGGTGGCGTTCAGTACGGGAAGCAGCTGCAGTGGAACTACCAGCGGTCCCAGTTGGCCCCGCGGAGCCTGGAGGTCTCAGACGTCTCAGAAAGATTGGTGAGTTCATCCTGGTGTAGCCGAGTGATTTGAGTTTGTTGTTTCTGTGTGCTTTAGTGTTGATCTGTGTGTGTGTGTGTGTGTGTGTGTGTGTGTGTGTGTGTGTGTGTG